CGTGGCGCACACACCCTCCGCCGAGGACTTCAGGTAAAGCCGAGCTGCAGAGCAGCACAATCACGGGAATACCCCGGTTTGAAGTCTTTGCCGTATTGCTGTCAGATCACTGTTAGGTCCTCTGCACTCCCTTCAAAACACAACCTCCCTCTGAAAGCGTTCTGGAGTTCCCATGGCACTTCTTTTGGAATACCTGGGGAATGGACACGCATACAGAGCTCAAGTAGTGTATTAAACAGAAACTATCATCTTTGAGTTTGAACTTTTTTTCTTTTTCTTTTTTTTTTTTTTTTTGCTACTAGTACTTGATATTGCTGTATTGACTTAGTTTTTCATGTAGGTAACATACAACAAGAATTTATTAATTTTCAAAAGACATCTTTCCATAAACTCTGTATTACAGTTGGGGAAATGTAGGAACAAAGAGGGCAGTGTTTTGTCTGTAGCTGCTGGGAAGGTCAGCATGAGCCGACACCACATCTCCAGACTGCTGGTCAGTGGGCAAACCACTGACTGCTCATGATGGGCCAAAAGTCACAGAGCTGCCTTAGCTGCCACCAGAGAGATATTGCAGGGAGCCCCTGCTAGAGGCAGGTTCTGCACATCGTGAGAGACACAAAACAATAACATTTGCCTTTGGGTAACGATTTCCTCTGGTTTTTAAAGCCTCTCCTTGCTGGACACCAACCTACCCGCCGAGGCGGAGACGGAGTTGCGCAGTTTCATCGCTAAGCGCCTTACTAAAGGAGCGCTCTTTGAAGGAATGGGGAACGTAGCATCAGTGGGGCTGAGGTAAAATTTTGAAATTATTGGTGAATGAGAGCTGTAAGGAACATTGGCACATCTTGCCTGCCTGCTGCTGTACTTAGTTTAATCCTGATTCCATGTTCCCAGTCTGTTGTTGCTGTTAATAATAGCCTTACACAAACACACTTTCCTTTTTTAAGTAACTTTGAGAAAAATACTGTTTTAAATAATTTACTGTTTGAATACTTTAAAAATACTTCAGATGTTTATGATAATGTCCTCTTAAACAACTCTTATCACACAGAAGAAAAAAGAGAAGGTCTAAGAGCTGCACCTATGGCTGCACCTACCACTGCCATAGGAGCCAACAGTGCTACCTGTTAAAATTACCTCAGAAATAATGTATGTCTGCTTTTTGCACTCATTTATTGTGATATATCTGGAAGAAAGTAATTTTTCTTCCTTTTCTCATAGCATACCAGAAGGTAAAGTTGGGTGTTACTACTGTCGTTTCCAACAAGAAAGTCTTCTGGAAATGGCAACGTTGGAATCAGACATCAATGCTCCAGAATATGTGGTTTGTTTCTTAGGTGGCTCAGAGAAAGGTCTGGAACTATATCCTTACCTTGAACTTTCTTTACCTGTATGGAGAGGGGCATGATGGATAAATTGTTTTGTCTGTTCCTACTTGAAATCACTCGTTTGTGCACACCCTTCAGTAACTGCAAAAGTCAGTAATAACCATATACTGAAAGGAAAAAATACAGGTCTTAACTGATGCATCTTATTTTCCTTAAGAAGATACTTTCAGACTTGAGCTGGACAAATACATTCAAAATCTGAAGATAAATCTTGATTTGGAGGTAAGACCTAACTTTTTTTTTTAAAGTGGTGAAAATTAGTATTTATGCAGGTTAATTGCTAAAACCATCTGGAAGATCTAATCTATAGAGACAAAATAGGTGTTTCAAGTACCAGTATGAAACACAGGGAGAGATACTTGACTCACTGTAGTACAATGAATGTCTAAGGTGCTCTCAGCCACACAAGTCAAAAGGAAAAAAGGGGGGGACCTTTTTGTGTCAGTCATAAATCTCTTAAAGGTCATTTACCGTTAAATCTGGAGAGTAACCAATACAATTTAATGGTCTATAAGGAACTTATCAATGTCCACCTCAGTTCTTGCCAGTTCTGAATGTTAAGAAAGGGCATTTGTGGGTTTCTTGTCACAATTTTCTAGTGGAAGTTCTGCATTTTAAGTCTTTTTTGTCATCCCATCTGCTGTTGCATGGTTTTCACTCAATATATACCATAATATTACAGTTCTGGCTGTTTCTTAAAATGCAAAGCCTTTCATTGCCAATAAATCTCAAACTCACTATTTTAGTTCACCGTGGTTTGAGATTAAGAAGGTTCCAACATCCAATTATCTGAGATTGAGTAGATTATTAATAGGCTTCTATTGATGTAGAAATCTGATTTTTAGTTAAAGCTTTAATGCTTCACTGTGTTACAGCAAAAAAACTTGGAGGCCTGTGTTAGCCCATACCTGAGGAGCTGGTTTGAGGATGCCATCTGCCCTATCCAGAGGGTTGTGCAGCTCTTCCAGGACAAACTTGCCTCTCTGCTACATGCTGTAAGTGTATTTAAAACTGGCTAGCTAAAAAAAGCTAAAAAACCTTCAAAAGGCATCTCAGTGACTCCAAATGTTTAAAATATTTCTTTCATTTGCTTTCCCAGAAGAAGGAAATTAAAAACCCTCATTTTTTTTGTTCTTTTTGTTGGGCTTTTTTGTTTGTTTGTTTGTTTTTTAAATTCAGAGCAAGCACTTTTCCCCTGCTTATTGCTAAAGAAGCACATAACAATTCCTTCTGTCACTTAAATTAAGTAATGGTGTCCACACTGAAATTAGAGTAAGAAAATCAGAAATAGCATGAGCATTCTGTCCATGCCATAATTGTCTGAGTGAAAAGGGATGTTATGTTGTGTATGTGTCATATGTAATTCACTGGAAACAGAAAAGAGACTAATCCTAGCTCTAGTCCCTGAGTTTGAGGAGGTTCTGGATAGAATAGCTAACTGAGTATAACTGCTGAATTTCTTCTGAGTGCAGAACCAGCTGTAATGGCAATAATACAGAGTACTGCCTTGACAAGAACAATTTTTAAAGTACCACATTATGTATTAATTGCTCATAACTACAAAAGTAATATTGAAGTTGCATCCATCTTTTTCCTTTTCTCTTTGTTTCTTTTTTTGTTTAAGGCTCTGAGTTACACTCCTGTAGAAGTCAAAAATGCAGATGAAAGAACAGAGAAGGACATCAGCAGGTAAAGATACTTAGAGCCCAAGGAACCTTTGAGTAACTGGGCTGTTGTGTCTGACGGTCCCCTCAGTGTGCAGGAGCTGGAAAGGAGCAAGCAGCTGACAAGAGCTTTCTGTGTCAGGTTCCTGGCAGCTGCCAGCCTCCAAGGACTTGTCCAGGAAGGCACAATGACCTCCCTGTGCATTGCCATGACAGAGGAACAGCACAAGTCCATGGTTATAGACTGTAGTGGACCTCAGCCCCAGCTGCATAATGCAGGTGAGATTACAGCAGGGAACCCTTCCTGTTGCTCCTTGGGTCCATCAGCTGCTGAGAGCTGTGACATTGAGGATATTCAGATCATAGGCCCAGAAACTTTAGGTTCTGTTTTCCTGTGAGGTACCAGAGTACTTTGTTTCACCAGACACACTGGAATTTTGGGTTGAAAATGCTTGGTAATAAAATCCACAGTACATTTAGTTTGTGGACTGTGAAAGTATGACTTGTACTTAGGGAAGTATGACTTGTAATTCAGGGAATCTGCAGAACTTTTTTCCTGTTGTGGTTTTGACAAATCTTGGGAAAAGGAATTCACCAATCAGAACAGAGTCTTGTGCAATCACTGTAGCTGTGTTTGCTTTTCTTTTCCACGTGTTTCCATGGTTTTCCTTAAGACTCATTTCCTGGCCCAGGTATATTGCTATCACTTGTTAGGTGGGAGTGATTAAACCAGGTGAATGCAGCTGTATATTTATGTGGGGCTCATTTGCTTTTTCTCATCTCTTCTCTGTGTTCCTGCACATTTAACAGGAAGCAACAGATTCTGTGAGGACTGGATGCAAGCTTTTGTGAATGGTGCTGAAGGTGGAAATCCATTTCTCTTCCGGCAGATTTTAGAAAACTTTAAATTGAAGGTACCTGTTCATATGTGTTAAAGACTTGAAGAAGATATTTGGGTTACTGTGGGAGCAAATACTACACTCAAAATATTATTTTGCGCTGAATAGAAGTTTTAGGTTATTATGATATCCATATGTCTGTTAACTGACTAACTCTGAAGCTTAATTTGAGGGCTGGCTTACCGTAGTTGCCAAGAACAGCTGTAAAGTAGTGTCAGAGTTTCTTCAGTGAATGCTCCAAAGGTGTTTTCTCATATTTAAAGTAAGACCCGCCTTCATTGTTGCTGTTGTTTTCTTCAAATACCGTTAATCTGGGACTTGCACACACAGTCTCTCATAACTGGTATCAGGGGTTCAGTAGCTAACAATTGTTAGGTGAGCTGCTAAGAATTCATGCTATAAGTTGGACACATCACGTTGTGTCCACACATTTTGCATCATTACAGTTCCAGCTATAATATGCATCCAAGACAATATTCAATTCTTACAGTACTCTTAAGCAGTAATACAAACTTTCTGTTGGAAATGCTTTTGCTTGTCCTGCTATTTATCCTTTATTTTCCACAATAGTGTGTTTTCATTCCATGTAGGAGGATAAGCAAATGCTCTGTTGCTCTTTGCCAGGCTATCCAGGACATCAACAACCTGAAGAGGTTTATCCGCCAGGCTGAAATGAACCACTATGCCCTGTTCAAGTGCTACCTGTTCCTAAAGAACTGTGGCAGTGGAGACATCCTGCTGAAGATTGTCAAAGTAGAACATGCAGAAATGCCAGAGGCCAGGAACGTAGTGACCGTCCTGGAGGAATTCATGAGAGAAACATCAGTGGCTTAAAATTATCTTATGTATAAATCATTAATTTCTTCTGTGCAGTGCAGCTATTGCTGGATTTTAATTTATATTTAAAAGTATTGCCCAAGTCAAATCTTAGCTGCAGTTTCATCTGCCTTTTCTTGGTTTTAGACAAAGCACTATGAGCTTTTTTAATGTGTACATATCAGATAATACAAACTCCTGCAGAGTTTTCAGATTCTCCAACTGACTTGCTCCTGTTCTGAGGAAATCATGACATTTGATTTTTATAGTCATTGAAAAACCAAACCCAAATCCCTTACCTGGCAAGCATGTCACTGTTCTAAATAATTTAAATATCTTTAAAATAATTTAGATCTGGCTGCTTTGTTTTTATAAAGAAGTACAAACATCTGGATAGATCGAGGTAATGAATTAATCATTTTAGTTTAGAAATGAGAATTTAGGTACCAAGTCTGTGTCTGATTTCTTCTTTCAAACTGCCGGTTTGTTCTGCTGCCACTGGATAAACAAGTTGGTAGTTGTGTGAAGCAGAGCTGCCTGAAGACTGAGCCATGGCAGTGGTCAGTGTGTATGTGCCTGTATGTGTGCATACACACACACAACAGGTACCTGAAATTCCCAGGCTATTTGATGTATCCTCTTCTTCCTTAGGCTGAGATGTGATCAAGACCTTCTTTGTATGTTCTTATATTACAGTTTTGCATAACTGTAAATAATGCTATGTTTTTCAGTCATGAAGAAACTAAAGAGTTTCTTCTTTAACATTTAATATTAAGACTTTTTCAGAATTTGAAATAAATTAACTTCCCAAATTAATTACTCAGACTTTAAAACATTTCAGTGTATCAGCAATGGATTCTTACCCACATCATGGGACACATAGGCAGCAGAATACCTGAAGGAAATCTTTGGCTACAGCTGGAATAAAAACTTATGAAGTCTGTGAGTATTCTCATAAAGAGCAATTTCTGCAAACCTGTTACAAGCGGAATTCCCTGTTGGTTCCCTTTGCAGCAGAGGGTGTTTGAACTCCCCTGAAACAGTGCCTGTAACCAATGTGGTTCAGTGTCACTTGTGCTGGTGCTCTGTACTGTGAGGGCAGGAGTTGCTGCTTTCCTGTGACACCACATGTTGAACCTATAATAAGGCTGACAATAAAACACGTTGAAATCCTCAACAGTGCGCCTGTAAATTGTCAGTGACTGTGGTCCTTGATGTCTGCTGCTGAAATCCATTTATCCCTCAATGCAGAGGAGCTGCAAGTGTGGCATTGACAGCCATGGTGGCATATGATGTATTGGAGAGGAAAAGTAGTGTGAAAGAAAACAAACCCCTCATTCAGTCATTTGCAGGAGCTCTGAGAAGAAACAAGTGGTTTCCTTCGTGAGTAAGTACAGCAGCAGCACTCAATAAAACATGTCACCTTTTGTTGCTCCTGTACATTCTAAAAAATTTGGAGCACTGGTTGTTGAGTTTGCTGGCTGATCAGGGCACAAGAAGGAGCTCAGTGCTTAAAAAAGTAAGTTGGATGTGAAAAATAGGTAGCAAGAAAATGTATGGTGCTAGTAGGCCGAAACACTTTTTGTATTAATTGACAAAAGCTGACAAAACCCACCTTACCTTCATGCTGAAAGTCCTCAGCTAATGAATAGAGTGATTTGAGTGTCTCAGGAAGTTTAGTTCAGTGCAGAGAACTGACAGCACGAGCTGAGTCCCACACATGGTAGCAGGGATCTGCCTCCCTTTGGAGTAGCACATCTGACAGGAATTGCTCCTACATACATCTTCATTCCTACAAATTACACTTTAACCCAGTGTTTCCCAACAAAAACACAAGTTACTTTTCAAAATAAGCCTCTGCCTTCCACACCAGTAGAAGGATTTTTACTTTAGTCAGTTGGGGGTTTACTTTTGCTGGGGGTTTACTTTTTTCTGGAGATGATGTTTCCATTCTTGATTTGAGTGTCGACTCAGATTTGAAAACACTCAGTAGAGCCTGATGTTAAAAGAGCACAACCCTCCTCCCCAGTAAAAGAAATTTACTCAAATGTAAAAAAATGTAGAAAAATTTACTCAAATGTTGTCAACTTCCCTGCAGTTGTGAGATCACGGCAGTGAAGGGACAGCTGCCAAAAGGTGGGACAACACCTGAGTTTCCATACATGTCCTAAGCCAGTTCTGCATCCTCATTAGATCTTGTGGAGAAATGAAGCTGCAGTTCACTCTCCCCTTTATCTGTTAAACAGACATAAAAATGAATTACCAATGTCATTATTAGAAGATTACATGGCAGAGCTCCAAACCAAGGGCTCTTTTGTTGAAAACTATGTTAACTGTAGACAAACTTACAAAATTGTCCTTGAAAGTTCTTTCTTGGTTTTTTTTTTTAGTTTGTGATATAGAAAAACTCAATTTTATTTAAAAAAATAAATAAAAAAGAAATTAAACAGAAAACAAAGAAAACCACAAAAAATTTAATGGATTCTGCGCTCAAATAATATTGTCACAACAAAAATATACAGAATGTACACAATACAAAAATATTTGGAAACATACAATAGCATCTTACCTTGCAAATATCATTTTGCTTTACTAGCCCTTTACAGGGAAAGTACCATTTGTTCAGTATTTTAAGGCAGAAAATTATGTAGTTTAGTGCTTTGTGTTTCACACTTGGATGTGTTGTTAGCATTACTAGTGTAAGCAGAAGAAAAGCTGCATAAATCTGGCTTTATTTGCAAACTGAACAGACACTGTGGGAGTCAGGAGAGAGTCAGTGACAACGTGTCTATCAAGCTTGCTGAAAACAAGGTACTTTAGCTACTTGAATCATAGGGAATATTTTGTGCTTTGTGCTGTAAATACCCTGAAACATAAATTTTCTGTACTCCTACTGGCATATTAGAAAGCTTTTTCCAATTAAAAGCCAATGATTAATGGTGACATTAAAATACATTTGCCTTTAAATAAGCTTGGTTTCTGTCTTAGGTGTGATTCTTTAATATGGAATTGCAAAATACACAGCACTCCTTTATAACAAGCTCTTGGCATCAGTGATCAGAGAAGGAATCTTTGAGTTCTACCCCACAAAGCACTGCAGAGGAGCAGGGGAGCAGCAATATTCAGAGGTGCTGGCCTGGCCTCTCCAGCCCCAGCTTGCCCCAGAGTGGCTGGTGCTGAACTTCCATGTCCCCATTCTCCAGTTCCACTTGGGGCAAAGCCAATGGATGGGTGTTCCAGAGCAATTGGGCTGAGCCTGAATCTTTGTGAACAGACTTTGAGCTCTTCACTCACTGAGGGATGTGTGAAAGTCCTACCCACCATCTTGTGAGACTAAATATTGGCAGAGAACAGCAGCTGCCTTGTGAGGTCAGCTGTCATGTCAGTACCAGCTCTGACATATCAGATCCCATCCTCCAGAGCACAGTTCAAACTGAAAGGGCCCAATCTGCTCCATAACACATGGCCAGTATAATCCATCAGGAGCAGCAAGGTGTTGGGATACACAATCCCTGAGCTTTATTTCTAGTAACAATTTCTCTAGCTTCCCCCTTCCCTGTTGATAACATACTTCCCACTGCCAAAGGAGCAAGTAGTGAAAAAGCACAATATGCCACGTAAGTGCTAAGATTCCTCATCAACTGACAAGGAAACAGTGACACAAGATGTTGTTTTAAAAACTCAGCAAAAGTAAATTCATCAGCATTTTTATGACTACTACACCTCACTCAGAGATTGTGTCTGGAAACCTCCTCTCCCATCACTGCATCACAACTCTCTCCCTCGTCTTATTATTATGTGTTATTACCGCTGTGTGTAACACTAATCTTTACCTGTCTGGGAATAACAGGTGCC